AGGAATTCCTGGAGGTGGCACTGAGGGCTCTGGGGACAAGGGTGGGGGTCAGGCACAGCTTGGGCTGGATGGGCTGGGAGGGCTTTTCCAGCCCCAGGGATTTGGGGATTCTGGGATTTCAGCCCTGAATTTCGGAGTTGGGAGCAGCCATCTGAATGTTCAACCTACGTGACACTGCAGTGACAGCACTGCTGGGCTCGGTGTGCTCATCACAAACTGTTCTTGGGGTATTTTTAACCATCTCTGCTTGGTTATAAATTCACCGAGGGAAAATCTGGCACCAAAGGCCTCCAGGGAAGGAGGTTTGGGGGCTCAGTCAACCCAAATGCAGAAACATTCCCTCCATTGCTGTGGAATCCACACAGAATCCTCCCCTTCCAAACTGACTCCCATTGTAATCCTGGCAATTCCACAGCTCTCCTGAGCCTTTTATACATCTCCAGGAAAAGCTGCCTGACCTTCCCTGGAGAGTGGGGAATGGAAACCCCAGAGCAGCTGTGGCTGCCCCTGGATCCCTGGCAGTGCCCAAGGCCAGGCTGGACATTGGGACAGTGGGAGGTGTCCCTGCCATGGTGGCACTGCAGGGCCCTGGGGTCCCTTCTATCCCAAACCATTCCAAAACAAAAGGACAGGGAGGTGTTCCTACCTTCAGTAGAAGTTTCTTCAAACGTGAAATCTCCTCCACGGACACAGAAACATTTGGGTTACAGTTCCTGGAACAGATCCAGCTTCAGGAAATGGTTTTCATCCAGTGTGAATTTCTTTGCAAGACTCCAATCCTGGAAAAGATTTTTAAAAGTTACCAATAACCAAAGGCACCTGAGGACCAAAGGTTTTTATTTTTTTCCCTAAATGAACTTCCACAGAACCTTTCAGCACAAGGGGAGATGACAGGGACTGAGAGCCCCTGCCAAGCCATCCCCACCAGCCCACACAGCATCCTCCCAGTTATCCCAGTTCCCCCCGCCTGCAGCACTGGGCAAAGCTGAACTGCCCAGCCCTGGAAGTGTTCAGGCCAGGCTGGATGAGGCTCAGAACTGGGGACAGTGGAAGGGGATCACAGAGGAGGAGCCAGGGGCTCCCCACAACTCCAGAGCTGGCCTTTAACCCATCTCTGAAATCCAGGAACTCCTGTGTATCAAAACTCCACTTGATACACCCACATCAAATGGAAATTACATTTAATGTGAGAATAAAAATATTTCCTCATCTTCCAATCAGTGACTGCTTAACTGGAGGTCCAACACTCACCCAAACCAAGGGCACTGATCTCAACAACAACTGCTCAGGGTTTTATTCCTAAACTTTGATGCCTTTTTCCCCAGAATTTGTGCCCAAAAGTCCCGGACAGAGTCCCAGATTCAGGGAGGCTGGAAAAGCCCTCCCAGACCTTCCAGTCCAGGCTGTGCCCAGAGCCCACCTTGTCCCCAGCCCAGAGCACTCAGTGCCACCTCCAGCAATTCCCTGAAGTCCCTGGGCAGCTCTCCCTGCCACCATCCTGTGTCACTGCCACGTCACCCCAGCCAGCACTCCCTGTGTGCCACCACCCCATGTCACTGCCATGTTACTCCATGTCACCCCAGCCAGCACACCTTGTCACTGCTGTCACCACAGCCAGCACTCCCTGTGTGTCACCATCCCATGTCACTGCTGTGTCACCTCATCCAGCACTCTGTCACTCCATGTCACCACAGCCAGCACACCCTGTCACTGCTGTGTCACCCAGTGTCACCACAGCCAGCACTCCTGTCACCACCCCATGTCACTGCATGTCACCACATCCAGCACACCCTGTCATGCTGTGTCACCCAGTGTCACCATATCCAGCACTCCTGTCACCCATCCTATGTCACTGCTGTGTCACCCAGTGTCACCACAGCCAGCACTCCTGTCACCACCCCATGTCACTGCTGTGTCACCCAGTGTCACCACAGCCAGCACTCCTGTCACCCATCCTATGTCACTGCTGTGTCACCACAGCCAGCACACCCTGTCACTGCTGTGTCACCCAGTGTCACCATATCCAGCACTCCTGTCACCACCCCATGTCACTGCTGTGTCACCCAGTGTCACCACAGCCAGCACTCCTGTCACCACCCCATGTCACTCCATGTCACCACAGCCAGCACACCCTGTCACTGCTGTGTCACCAGGACAGCTGTGGCAGCCCAGGGACACGGCTGGTGACACCAGCAGCTGCTGGCACTGCTCCTCAGGGGCAGGGGGCTGATCCCAGCTCCCCCCAGCCAGCCCCAGGGCCAGGGCACCAAGCCCTGCAGGGCAGCGGGGACACAGACACTCCCTCGGGAAAGAGCCCCAGAGAACTCAGAGGTCACAGGGAGCACAGCAAAGGAGGTCAGGAGCTGCTCACCTGCAGCAGTGACACAGCAGCTGGCCCCAAAAATCCCAGATACACACAACGGGCTGTGCCTGTCACTGGAAAGACGTGGCCCCAAAAATATGAACAAATTAAAAATATCAGCCAAGAGTGAAAGTCCATTTTGTGTAAATCAGGGAATCGTGGAATGGTTGGGCGGGAAGGACCCCAGAGCCCCTCCAGTGCCACCCCTGCCACCTCCCACTGTCCCAGGGTGCCCCAATGTCCAGCCTGGCCTGGGACACTGCCAGGGATGGGGGCAGAGTTTTCAGGGCCATGGTTCAGCTCCAAGTACAATGAAATCCAAGTGCTGCAGCTTTTCCACACATCCGTGTGCCAGCAGCCCGTGAGCAGAGCCCACCTTCCCCACCTTGGCCACGCCTTCCACGCCTTAGGGTGGTCCCAAGATATTCCACAGCCCTTCCATGGAATCCACTCAGGCAAGGAAGGAGAGCACCCCTGAGCAGACTAAAACCCACTAAAAACCTCTGCAGTGCCTTTGGAAAAGCATTCACACATTAGCAAGGCATGAACAACTGTTCAGTGCACCCCAGCTCCTCTCCTGAGCTCTCCTCAGGGAATTTCCACCTGGGCCAGCCCTGCTGAGCCCTGCTGAGCCTGCAGGAGCAGATCCCTGCTCCTGTGGATGGCCCTGTGCATGTCCCTGGCATTACCTGTGCCAGGTGTGGCACAGCCCTGCTGGGCACAGGGGTCAGAGCCCATCTCCTTCCCTGTGCCCCCCTGTTTCAGGGAGCCAGGAATGGAACAGCCACACATGGATGGAAGCACAGAATGGTCCCTGGAGTCATGGGGGGATCCCAGGGAGCCCTGCACAGATCCCCCAGAGCCCAGCCTGGCATCCCTGGCAGCACTCCTGGGGCTCTGGGGGCTGGCACTGTGCCCTGCTCCGTGCCCAGCACCCTCTGGGCAAGAACCCGAGCCCCCCTGACCCTCCCTGCTCCTCCCCAGAGGAGGGATCCACAGAGGCTGGAATGTCCCTTCCCCGAGGAGAATCCATAGCCAGCACTGCTCTGAGCCACCCACAACCAACAGGCTGCAAAAGGCACTGGAAGAGGGTGAGGAGAACTGCAATTCCTCAATAAAAACTATCAGAAGGTCCATTTAACCCTCACACATGGGAGGAACAGAATTGCTGCCTCTCCCATACAGCCAAGGCACATCCCAGGAGGCAGCAGTGGGATGGGAGCGTTTGGAAAAGGACAGGCATGTACAAAATGCAGCTATTTTTAAAGAAATTTAAAGTCTTCCCACTGCCTCAGTTACTTTATCATGGTTGATCAGAAATATCAACCAAGATGAGCTAAATTCAACCTTTTATATAAGTTAGAACTTCCCTCAAGACTTCACTGATAAAGAAGAGTTTGAGCTGTTGGAATTAGGGAAAAGCAGCATTTCCCAGGGTACCTGCACTGCTGACAGGAGATCAGAACAACCACAAACTATTTCCTAATCAATGTTCATTCACATCAATCTTGGGATGTATTCAGCCTCTTCCCACCTGATTTAAGAGCAGTCCCAACAAAACCCCAGAATCCCTGAGGCTGGAAAAGCCCCCCCCAGTCCAGGCTGTGCCAAATCCTCACCTTGTCCCCAGCCCAGAGCCCTGAGTGCCACCTCCAGGAATTCCCTGGCCATTTCCAGGGATGGGCACTCCAAACCTCCCTGGGCAGCCCTGCCAAGGACAAATACAGCCACAGGAAAAAAATAAGCCCAGCCTAAACCAGTTGGACTTTGCAGCTTCTTCTCTCCAGCAGGAGTGAGAGATGCAAAGACTGGGACAAACAGTCGAGAGCTTTTCCTATTTTGGGGGTTTATACCATCAACACCTGCACTGACTGATGGGGTTTTTCTGAAAGTTGGGGTTTTATGACACCTTCAGCTCTTCCCTAACCCTCCTTGTCTCCACCAGGAATTCAGGGATTAAAGGATGGAAGAGCCATAAAACCATCCAGGCACTGCCCAGTGCTCGGCCAAGGGACCACAAACACCATCTGCCCAAGATGGTCACTCCAGATAGCCCTGATTAATTCTGACCCAATAAACTCCCAGTTCTAATAAACTCCTGCAGCCCATTCCTGACTCCACACAGCCCTGAGCTCACTGGGATGGGCTCTGGGCTCTGCTGCTTCTTCAATTCCAGTAAATAAATAAATAAATACATAAAGATCCTTCCACCAACTCCTCTTCATCAACCATAATCAGGGGATTGAAATATTCCCAGAGCCACTGGTTCTAACAGTAAATAAACAGGAGCTGAGAGAAACTGCTGGACAGAGTCCAGAGGCCGTGGAGCTGCTGCAGGGCTGGAGCCAGGCTGGGAGAGCTGGGGGTGCTCACCTGGAATGGAGAAGGATCCAGGGAGAGCTCCGAGCCCCTGGCAGGGCCTGGAGGGGCTCCAGGAGAGCTGCACAGGGACTGGGGACAAGGAGGGACAGGACAAGGGGGTGCCCATGGCAGGGACACCTCCCACTGTCCCAATGTCCAGCCTGGCCTTGGGCACTGCCAGGGATCCAGGGGCAGCCACAGCTGCTCTGGCAATTCCAGCCCAGCCAGCAATTCCCAATTCCCCAGATCCCAGCCAGCCCTGCCCTCTGGCAGTTTTCTGGAGTTCCTTCCATCCCCATGCTGGAGCAGCCAGCCCACTCCCCTCTGCTCATCCCTGAATCCTCTCCTCCTGGCAAACATCATTTCAACTCTTCCTTCATCAGCTCAGGGTCAGAGCAACAGCAAATTTCTCTTCCTCTGCATGTGGACATTTGGAAAACGATATGCAAATCATGAGATCCCTGGAATGATCGTGGTAACTGGAGAAGCCACCAAAGCCAGTTGCTATTTTAAACTCCTGGCCAAGCTCTGGGAATCTTCCACAGATCTGATCCAGCACAGAACCAGCACCTTGTGTGGGGCCCGAGCCTGCTCCTCATCTTTTCAAATCTGCATGGAGCTGTGCCAGGGAGGGTCAGGCTGGATGTCAGCAAAGGTTCTTCCCTCCCCCAGAGGGGCTGGCACTGCCCAGGCTCCCCAGGGAACGGGCACGGCCCCAGAGCTCCAGGAGTGTTTGGACAGCGCTGCCAGGGCTGCCCAGGCTGGGATTGTTGGGGGGTCTGTGCAGGGCCAGGAGCTGGGGCTGGGAGCCCTGGGGGCCCTTCCAGCTCAGGAGACTCCGTGGTTCTGTGATCCCAGGTAGAGCCCAGGATGGATGTGCAGCTGCCGTGGTTTTCCAGTCACACACTGAAACCACAGCAGCTCCTCCCCAAGGCCAGGCAGCCCTGGATGAGGAAACAGCCCAGGACTTCCCAGTGCAGTTACTGATGGCAAGGAGCTGCAAGCAGAGGGGCTGTGGCTGTTACTGTTGTTATTATTGTTGTTGTTATTATTACT